AAGAAAACGCTGAAGCAGTACAGAGCAGGGTGTGTGTGGTGTTGGACACGCGAGGAGAAAGACTTCAAGGTTTCTCATTGGTGTGTCCGAGTCTAACAGTGATTTCTCTGTCCAGGCCGTCCTTCGAGGACAGAAAGAGACTCGGCCTTCCGAACAAGAAGGGAGGACGCTTCAAGTCAAAGTCCAAGTGAGATTTATTATTTCCCTAAAACACGTTCAGATTAGACGTGCTCATTTTTCATGCATCCGGAAACACCTAATTGAATTTAAGAGCAACAGAGTGTTGATATTTAACTTTTCTTTTTCATAAATAAATACAATGCATTGGTGAGGGATTTGACATGACTAAATGCATCATGAAATATTGCAATAAATATATAAAAGTACAATATGCAAGCATGAGAACATGTAAAATAAAAAAGGATGTGAAATACCGTACAAAATGGCCTCTAAAATAAAAAATAAAATAAAATAAAAAACTCGCGAAATATAGTGAACAACATAAAGCAAATCAGTACATCTAGGAAATAATGGGGGGGGGGTATAATTTGCCATACTATAGTATAATGTGAGATAGAAATGAATATTTAAGTCATTAAATTCAAGATCACATAATCTTTTCCCTCGGTTGCAGCTGTCAGTAATTCTCCATTCAGCATTCAAACAAACAGCGCGTCGTTAGTCGGTCAGCATTCAAATAGCACAGCGCGTCGCATTCGGCAACGATGAAACTCTCTCCAAGATGATTAAATGTTACTATTATACTTAATCTGTAGATAAAGCTCAATGATTTCGCATAAATTGACTATCTTGCTGTAGTAACTCAATCATGTTCCTTTACCGCGTGTCTATCACAACATTGGAGAGAACTATCATTGTTCTTCACGCACACAGTAACTGAAATGTAAAACTGTTAAAAGAAAAGGCTCAATAAACTATTGCATAGATAGATAATGTATAATTATCTAATAGATACCCAGACAGCAAACTGACATTGAATCAACGTGGAAACAACGTCTCTCATGACATTGAAACAACGTTGATTTTGCTCATCGAATTAACGTTGAACCAACGTCAGACGCGGCATTCTTCAAAATGAAAATCGAAAATTGGTTTGCTTTCATAACGTTGAAACAACGTTGATTTCAAGTTGATTTTCCGTTAGTTTTGAAAGAATGACGCGTCTGACGTTGGTTCAACGTTAATTCGATGAGCAAAATCAACGTTGTTTCAATGTCATGAGAGACATCGTTTCCACGTTGATTCAATGTCAGTTTGCTGTCTGGGAAATGAAAATCGAAAATTGGTTTGCTTTCATAACGTTGAAACAACGTTGATTTCAAGTTGATTTTCCGTTAGTTTTGAAAGAATGACGCGTCTGACGTTGGTTCAACGTTAATTCGATGAGCAAAATCAACGTTGTTTCAATGTCATGAGAGACATCGTTTCCACGTTGATTCAATGTCAGTTTGCTGTCTGGGAAATGAAAATCGAAAATTGGTTTGCTTTCATAACGTTGAAACAACGTTGATTTCAAGTTGATTTTCCGTTAGTTTTGAAAGAATGACGCGTCTGACGTTGGTTCAACGTTAATTCGATGAGCAAAACAATGTCAGATCAACGTTGTTTCGATGTCATATTTCCACGTTGATTTAATGTCAGTCTGCTATCTGGGTAGATAACTGTATAATACACTATGCATCGAAATGTATTTCCTTTGTGCTTTGAACTTTTCAATGCGTAACTTGTCTAAACAGAGCTGCGGGTTGTGACTCATGTTGCCTCAAGCGCATCATTCAGCGTTCGGGATGCGCATAAGCACTGTGTGCAGCACTCTATTGGGGTCTTTCACAATCATAGCATAATACTTTGCAATAAAAGATTATTAATAGTATTTTTTGTTCTGTTCTGTCCTATCTATCATATGTTGCTGCCTCATTAAACAGCTGTGCTATACATTTGTGCTATATATATATATATATATTGTTAATTTTATAGAATAAAATAATTGTTGTCTGGTTGTATATGGGCTGTGGCAATAATTTTTTTCTCACAACATATGGAAAAAAGAACTATGAACTAGGTAATTTTTTGAAGTATGAACTATGAACTGAACTAGTTCATTCTAAAATATGTGAACTGAACTTTGAACTAGTTCATGTAGAAAGTGAACTTTCCCAACACTGTTAACTTGTCAAACTGAAGTAAAGGTTCTAAGAATTTGTGACTTAAGTAAATGTGTATATTTTAGGAATGTCTTAGTTTTATTCAAGAAAATGAGTGAAAGGGGGAAAAAAAAAGCATAATTTCTGCCCGTCTTCTCTTAAATCCTTTATTTGTCTTTCCAGGTTCAGGAGAAGGTGAATCTGTGACTGATGGAGAACTTCAATGGAACATCTGCCTTTTTATCATTTTATTATCATCCCCCCCCCCTCCAAACGCAACCTCCCAAACCCTTCCAATAAAACTCTACAACCGAACACCTGCATTTCTGTTTGTCATGCATGTGTAGAGCTGATGCATGTATAACCTACGGCTAATGACAGTCCCTCCAGAAAAACGCGATTATGCGATCGCTGAATTCAATGCAAAATCAGCCAAAGTCCGCATATTTATGCGGGGGCCGCATTTTTTTCAAATACGCCTCACTTTCGCCGCATAAATTGCCGATTTCCGTGCAAAATATGCGGGGTTTGCATAATTTCATAATCCTAGCATTTTCGTTGCAAAAAAAGTCACATGTATCTTAGCAGAAAATTGAAAAATGTTGCGTTTGCTTCACATAAGAGCAGCCATTTCCCCCTGTTTCCATGGGAACGTTATGAAGTGACGCAATTACGCGACGCCAGACAGACTCACGGAGGCGATTGACATCTCACAAATCGAACTCGTATAACTGTCTGTCGAACGTTCTACCGTCACAGTGTTACTTAATAAACAACATAAGATAAAAGTAGTAGCATCAAACAGAAATTACCCACACACATGGGGTGTTCGACAGTTCAACAGGGAGCGCGCAGCTCTTAAAGGGGCCACACCTTATTTACACTCTTACAGTCTGAAATAAAACAAGATGAGAAATTAAATATTCCCAGCACTTTCTATGATGTAGTATGCTTGTTTATCAAAGGAAGTAATAAGAAATGACTCTTACATTAACAGGATGTTGGGGGAATCACTTTTTTTCTCTTTTTCATCAAACCGCAATTTTTGCAAGTTCCCTCAATTTTTGTAAATTCCAGCAATTTCATCGCATAAAATTGCATAAATATCCCGCATATTCCATCGCATTTTTAAAGAAAACTGGCCGCATAATCAATCAATTTTTGCCCGCAACAATCACAAAAAAAAAACTCTGTGTTTTTCAGGAAGGACTGAATTCTAGGTAAATGTTAAATATAAATCGCAAATTTTTTCACAAATTTTTGGAAATTACCACCACAAAATCAGTCATTTTGATCGCAAAAATCACAAAAAAAATCGTGAAATCCTGGAGGGACTGTAATGAGCACCACAAATGAGATTTATTTCTCCTTGATTTAAGCCAAACAGATTGAGTCTCATAGAGGTCAAGTCAAACTGAGATGTTAAAGAGCCCAGAAAATCAGCCCTCACGAAACAATGAATCCATGTCTTCTTTATCAGCCGGCCTTGAAGATAATGCAGCGAGAAGCTCTCCCTCGTCCCACAAGCAATGAATGAAGCTTGCATTCTTCACAGGAAAGATGCATACTGTATATCATAAAACTGGATCATAGTTTTAACCCTAATACTTTATTATTTCGATTCGATGATCCACTTTAGATGTTATACTAACTTTAAGTAACTTTGCAACTAGAACTTATTCTACTAACTCCACAGCGAGTTTGCTGACATGTAGTTGCAATGTTACTTAAAACTTGCAATGTCTTATTTGAGACGTTTGCTGTGGGGAATGCTGGCTGCATTAATATATAAAATAAAATAAATGCTTCTATTTACACAAGAACCTGCTGAGTGAACTAAATACTTGTGTAAATATATAGCTTTAATTTTTATTATGATTATAAATCACATTCAGCTCAGGTGAAGCAAAACAAGGCTACTGTTTTTAGTGAGATTCTCTTCAAGACCAACCTTGAATGTTCATATGTGACAAAAATAATTTACTCAATTTTATGGCACACCTCTGACCCAGTTGTCAACATGGCATTCATTTCCCCCTTTTTTAAGGGCACTTGGCAGTATCTGTAGAATTATGATGAAATCACACCAGGTGTAATTTGACGATATCATCATTGTGTTTAATGTTATGCTATTAGTCTGCTTTGAATGATGATTTAAAGCAGTAGGAAATGAACATGAAGCTTCAGTCAGGTCAAAGTTTTGTCAGTCAGAAATGATTCACTGTTGAATGATTCATGAACAAACAAGACGGTGAAAGTCGAGAGGAGTTTTATCAATAACAGGTAAAGTTTTGTTGTACCATTTTGTTTGTTGTACCAAATTTTAGAGCTAGTCTCTCCACAGTGGATAATGTATTACAGTCAGCAGGTCGTGTTTGCATGAGTTGTGCACATTTCTAGTGAGTATTTCTTTGCATGGTTGGTTGTGTATTAGTGTTACTGAACAGATTAGCAAGCCTTGCTTGTTCTCTGGGTTTACCTGTATGTGGCTTCCTCAACATGCGGTTGCTTTGCATCTAACCCACAGATTTGCATTCAAGACACATTTTCTCCAAGTAAGTTTCGGTTTTGTCAAATGAAGATCCTAAATTGAGGTCCCTATTGGGAAACAAACTTCTGTAAATCTTACACAATTATAATTTTTATTTAGCTTTTTTTGCAGAAAATGAATGAAGATTTCTGTGATGGGTCGGGTTAGGGTAAGAGGAGAGAATATACAGTTTGTACAGGATACAAATCATTATGTCAATGGAAAGTTCCTGCAAAGATAGTAAACCAGGTCCAGACGTGTGTGTGTCTGTGTGTTCTCGTTTATTTTGTTGATCTTTTTCTCTAACGTTAGCCACTGAGGTATAGCCCACCATGACAAGTGACAACTGACCCCGGTCGCCCCTTTAGTCCCAGTCTGTATCTCACCACGGTAACGGATTTGTGTTTTTCGTTCATCACTTTCGGTTTATGACTCAATGAAACCGGCTGACCTGATCCGCCCATAACAGCGAGAAACGAAACTAGACCAACATAAAAGACACTGACAGATGGAAGAAGCACTGAGACTGAAAACATCGAACCAGGTGAGTGCTTCAGATTATTTTAATTAATAATCACGTTGTTTACACTATTATTTATATGTTACATCCATTGTCATTTGCTGCCGGCCGCTGTTTTTATTCGTTTAAAAGAGAACAGTTTTTTAGCCTGTCGTGTTTTTAGCTTGTTCATTTCCGGTAGATGACTAGTACGCAGTCATTTAATTTTAAATGTATTGTTTTTGTTTGTTTGTTTTTTTATTTTCGAGTAATAGGCCTAGTCATTCTACAATATATAAAAAATAACATTTTAATAAAGCATTTGGGTAAAGGAAATTTATAAAAGCATTTTATTAATATAGTGTCTCTCTCTCTCTCTCTCTCTCTCTCTCTCTCTCTCTCTCTCTCTCTCTCTCTCTCTCTCTCTCTCTCTCTCTCTCTCATGTGTATTTTTCTGTAGTCTTTTTATACATAGCTACCTTAGCGAGAAATGAAACTGAGTTCATAGTAGAATATCAATAATTTATCCAGGCATCAGCTATATTTTACTAAACCCATTAAAAGATTTCAGTTTAACACGTGCGTCTTGATTACTCTTGAATAAGATAGAAATTGTTTTGATGATATTTATTGTAATTATTTCTCAGATCACAATTTAAATTTTTAAACGCACCCTCTTGTCCCTTTTGCACATCATAAAAGCAAATTATAATTATTTTGAACAAGTTACCAATTGCTCAGGTAAATTCATCTACTGTTTCCTATATGATCAATTGCGATGTGTAATAGATCAAAATACATTTTATTTATATAGTTTAAATCAGGAAAAACTGACTACACTTATTGCCAACATGAACAAGCATTTTGATATCTTATTTTGTGAACAATGACAAGGACTTTTCATTCTGATGATATGCACTGATACACATTCATTGGGATAAATGTTTTCTTTTGAGATATTAACTAAGGATTTTGTGCAAGTTAGGCTAGTTTTTGCGGGTAATCAATGGTGATTTGTACAAATTGTTTCAAGAAATGCACTTATTGGGAGACTCATGCATTTTTGCTGAAAGGCGAAGAACGAATATGTATGTTCTGCAAGACTTTCCATTAAACATATTTTGGTAACGCTTCCTTTTACATTCCAGTTACCATACCATTTACTTATTTTTGTAACTACAATTACTGGGTAATAACTAGTACTAACCCTGAACCTACCCCTAAACCTACCCCTGTTCCATGTACTTACCTTATATTAGCCAGTACTTTCTAGGTAAGTTCACTGTAAGTACTGTACTGTAAAAGGAAGCGTTACCCATATATTATTGGACTGTTCCACTTTTAAATATTACTGTGGACCCCCATGAAAACGAGATGTTTCATCTCATGGGGCTGATCCTCTAATAAATGTTTATAAATAAATAATGCAAATGGAAAACTTTTTTATGAAGTAAGCTCACTTAAGGACTTGTTTAGTGAGATTTTAACAGAAATTGTTTCAGAATTTCTTATGTTAAAGTATAACATCTTGTATATAATACGAATTATGCTGTTTAGTTTTTCCTTTTGTTTCGTTTTTATTATTTTTATATATTCATGCAACTTTTATATTTTTCTAACCCAGTTTTTGTCACGTAGGTAGATAGCCTCAGATTCTGACATGGCATTAAAAAGCTATATTACTACTACTGCACTTATTGGTTTGAAAATATTAACGGTGATTCAAGAAATGTACCAAAGAGACTGGGGGAAAAGTTGTAAAATGGACCGAAGTCATTGCATCAGATCCAGCCTTTCAGCCAGATGTAAAGCATAGCACTAGCAGTGAATAGAGAACATTTTCCTCTTGATTATTTCTATTTTCTGTATAATCTATTGGTATAATCACCTTGCAGAGATATTAACAGCTGTATAATGTCCAATCCAAGAGGAGGAGGTCAACAAAGAGGAAGAGGAGGCTTCAGTGGCCCTCAAAGAAGAGGTATAGATCTTTACATTACTTCGTTTTAACCCAAAAAATAAAAGTTGCTGTTTGGATTTACACAGGCGAATGCTTTAGAGTCTATGATTGGCTCATTATTGCAGTGATTGTTTGGCAACAGTTCTTCTAACCCTAATTGATTGAGTGTGTAGTTTTTAGCCATGTAGGAATCATGGCCATATTCCAGGATGGCAATGTCAAGATTATTCAGACTCAAACTGTAAAAGAATGGTTTGAGGGAGCATTAAGGTTTTGACCAAAAATGGATGCACCTCTTGATGGAGTTAAAGGACAACTACGGCGCAAAATGAACCTTTGGTCTAATTACATATTGCTACCTAGTCAACCGTTATCTGAGATTTGTTTTCATGATTGCCGAATGTAAATTGTTTTATCTCTAAAAACAGTTTAGCCTATAACGCTAGTATATAGGGCATAGAGTAATGATAGAGTAATTATTAGCCACTAACAAGGCTCAAAATAGCCCCACACTAACACGACAGCATAATAAGGGTCCCTACATTCAAACCGAAGCATTGAGAACTTTGTCAGTGTCCATGCAGTTTAATAAGAAGATATTTTATACACACAGTCAACTTCGCGAATACAGGAAGAAGCCATCTTTGAAAAATAGTCTCTACCAGTCGATCTACGAACGCCGATCCAAGTGCGCTGAACTGTGCAGAATCTCATATGGTCCGTTGTTTCCGGAAGAAACACCAGTGTTGTAGTCGAGACCACCTCACTCGAGTCCGAGTCGACACCGAGACCAGAGAGAGTCGAGTCCGAGTCAAGACCGAGACCATAGAGTGTCGAGTCCGAGTCGAGTCCGAGAACAGTGAGGGTTGATTACCTAATTTACTTTTATTTACTTAGAGAAATCCTTTTTTTTTTTTTACTGAATTTACTTAGAGTTTAAAAAATATGATCAGTTTAGGGTAAAAAGGCCACATAGTAGGTGGTGTTAAAAGTAATTTTATTACAATTTGTCATGCGCAGTTGCGCACTAGAGAATCACCAATCACTGGGCGTGTCAATCAATTTAAAGAAATATTTTATTAACATACATTAATAATCATGAAAAATATTTTTAATTGAACTCAAGTGGACTCGGGAATAATTCCGAGTCCTAAAAAAAAATGTTCGAGTACGAGTCAATTCCGAGTCCAAATGGACACGAGTCCATGACAAGACCAAGACCATTAAAATATGGTCTCGAGACCGAGTCCGAGTTTCGAGTACTACAACACTGAGAAACACAAACACGAACCGTTTTCTTCTCATCAATATGTACATGTAGACTACTGTTCGCGCTCACCTTATCACCTTATTCACATCTCACCACCGCACTTGGATCGGCGTTCGTAGATCGACTGGTAGAGACTATTTTTCAAAGATGGCTTCTTCCTGTATTCGCAAAGTTGACTGTGTGTATAAAATATCTTCTTATTAAACTGTATGGACACTGACAAAGTTCTCAATGCTTCGGTTTGAATGTAGGGACCCTTATTATGCTGTCGTGTTACTGTGGGGCTATTTTGAGCCTTGTTAGTGGTAATAACAAGCGATTTTTATTTGTCATAACTCTATGCCCTATATACTAGCGTTATAGGCTAAACTGTTTTTAGAGATAAAACTATTTACATTCGGCAATCATGGAAACAAATCTCAGATAACGGTTGACTAGGTAACAATGTGTAATTAGACCAAAGGTTCATTTTGCGCCAGAGTTGTCCTTTAACATCAAGAGGTGCATCAATTTTTGGTCAAGGTCTTGTATTGTAAAATCTGTAAAATCTCCTCCAGCACATCCCAAAGACTTTCACTGAATTTAAGGTCTGTGCCAATTCATGTGTGAAAACAATTCTTCACACTCATTCTTTCACAATCTTAGCCTGATGAATCTTGACATTATCATCCTGGAATATGTCTATAACATGCTAGAAACATAATAATCACTACAATAATGATCCAATCATCAACTCTTAAAGTGTTTGCCTATTTAAATCCGAACTGCGACTTTTTGGGGGGCATTGTGCATCCTTATTTATTATGCACCACAATTTTATTTTAACAGATGGTTCTGTGCCTGGTCGAAGACAAGCAAGTAGGTCTCCCAATCGAACCAGAGGAAGAGGAGGTGGCCAAGGCGAGGGAGGAGGAAGAGGTCAAGGTGACAGGAGTCAAAGATATCCGGATGAAAAAGCACAAGGCTCAAGAGGAGGTAGAGGAGGAGATGGAAGAGGTCGAGGACTGTGGAGAGGAGAAAACGCACCACATCTCCACCGCCCTGTGATAAGGGGACGCCCAACAAATGGTCCCCCATCCTTACGAGCATTTGGGAGACCTGTTTCTGGGTTCAATCCAACTCTTCTAAATCATCCTTTTCAGGCTCGTGTGAACCACACTGAACACACACACCACCAACGAGCCAGTAGAAGCATGACGGACTTAAGTGCCAGTCCACAAGGTGAAGAACCTCAAAGAGGACGAGAAGAAGCTATGAGAGGTAGAGGGGGTTTCGGGAGAGGAAGAGGACGATGGAGAGACGGCACACCTGAGGTACGCAAACTGGGGTATAGAACGCTCGAAGGTCTACTGGAGAAAGAAGCGTCCGAGGTGGCCATCACCCTTTCATCTAGCAGTGGGCTTAAGAATCTGCTTGAGGAGAATCCAATGAGAAGCGACTTGGTGCAATTGATCTGTCAGGTTCTCTGCAAGGCCTTTCAGTCTCGAATCGACCGCAAGAACGTCATGCATTTGGCCCACGTCTTCAAGGACTCGACGTTTTTCCGTAACCTCTTGCCCTATCATGTGACGGGAATGATGTCAGATTACAAGCAAGACCGAAGGGATCAGTATCCCCAACATGTGAGCAACATCATCAGCCTTCTCTCTCATGTTCTCAACATGTTTCCACACAGCTCTGTCCAGTCTGTGTCAATGTTGGTTGCTCTTTTGAAACCAACCATCAACCAGTTGCGTGCCTCTGGTGTGGATATTCTCGACAGTACCGATGGGGACTTGGAGAAGGTGCAGGATATGGTGGACCATCTCCAAGAGAAGTCAAGGGAAGGCACCTTGCGGACCGACAACTACTCTTTCCTGGCAGCTGATGAAGATGCTCCACCTGGGGAGGAAGACTTCAGGACGATGAGCATCTATCCAACCTTTGATGAGTTCCACCTAGACCAGAGGCCTTTCCTGAGACCCAACATAATGTCTCAAAGCTTCCCTAACGCTCGCATCTATCTGGACACACACTTCCGACTTCTGCGTGAAGATTTCGTGAGGCCACTGCGAGAGGGCGTCAAGCAGATCCTGCGCGATAATACTGATGGGGTACCAATAAACAAGAGGCGTTTTGATGACATCAGAGTCTACACTGACACCCGATTGCTGTTACCACTCTGCACATCCACGGGAATCGCCTACAAAGTGCAGTTTGACCCACAGCCTCTTAAGGTAATGACGAGCTTCTTTTCTATTGTAAGTATTCATTACTTGTCCGAGAGAACATTGTTCCTTCTAACAGTTTGTTATTACATTGCAACTTCTCTTACAGTTTGTCCGGTGGGAAAATTCCAAACGTCTTATTTACGGATCCCTTGTGTGTCTCTCCATGGACAACTTCGAGACCTTCCTGTTTGCAACCGTGGCCGATCGGGACCCAAAGTTTCTAAAGCATGGGCTGGTGAATCTGTCTTTTTCTTCTGAAAGCAGGGAAAGAATGGCCATGGTTCAGCCCTCAGACACCTTCCTGATGGTCGAGACCACAGCTTACTTTGAGGCCTACCGATACGTCCTAGAAGGTCTCCAAGAGGAAGACGAAAATGATGTTCCCTTTCAAAGGTATGCAGGGTTGAAGTGTACGTCTCGTTTACTTGTGCATAACTCTGTGGGTGGTTGCTATTTGCTTTGTAAGGTGTTCTGAATGGTTTAGAGTGTTGTTTTGTAGTTTCTAGGGTGTTCTGGAAGTTTCTAGGTGGTTTCAAATCAAGAGCTCACTGCCAAGTAGGGGTGTGTAATATACTGAATATCGTCTACTACGATAATATCTGACATTATCGAGTATGTTCCCCATTTTACAAAAACACATTTAGAGAGCGCATGCACTATGTGATGTAGTCTAGTAGGCTACTAGTGCGCTTGAACATTTATAGGTCACACTTTCACTGGGTGATTTAGCATTTTGAACAACCCCAATATTCAAGATAAAGGGCAAAATACCTCTGTATGTCTTTATATTTATATAATTTTATAGTCAATCAATAATCAAACACGATGTGTCATTTTTTTTCCTCCAAAATCAGCATATGAATATTACATATGTGATATTGATTTTTTACAACAGTTCAATAAACAAGAAGTTTTTATCTACGACAAAAGTAGAAGATGGATTCAAAGAGACCGGCGGCTTGTAGTTCATTCCAAACCCCAACGCAAACTCCACGTAAGACAAAGAAAATAAAACTTTTGTCTAGTGCCAGGCGTCGGAATAAGATGAGAGTCAACATCGGGAAGCTTTCAGCAAATCGAGAGATCTCCGGTCGGCTCTAGGGCTCAAACGGGATCCTATACAAAGTAATAACTTATATTGTTCATGAACATGTTTCCATAATAATACAATCATAAGTGGATACAGAAAGCACATAAAACGGTTCAACATGGAGATAGATTGAAACAAAAAACGAAGTTTTCTACTACCCCCATTTTCCCCTCACACATAAGTGTGTAATTTACTCAAATGCCTTTCCTTTCATATATTTAAAATGACTTGCAGATTTATAACTTTATTACAAGTGTGTGTGTGGTCCATGAGTGTGCACACCTCTGGTTGCAGTTTCGCTTGTCGCCAGTAGTTCTTCAAAACCCCCGTAGTTCTTCAAAAACTCAGAGACTTGCGCTATGCACCTTTAATAAAAAATTAAAAAAAATTAAAAAAGGCTTTATGAAGGTAAAAATGACCATAAAAGATATAAAATGTATTGCAAAAGATAATTTCTGGCCCTGCTGCGTATTGACCACCCCACAAAATATGAAGAATATCAAAAATCTTAACCCTCAAACCGTATTCACTTTATAGCCCTTAATCTTGTAATTGAGGACAAATGTGGGCACAGAGGACTCCGGTGTGATCCTGAATGTTTATTTATTATAAATGTTATATCACTGTCTTCGATAAAGTTTTGTCTGTCCATTTATGGTGTTTTGTTTTAATTTTGGGGGTATTTTTGAATTTATTTACTTCAAAAAGTACCAGATTTTCTATTTACAATATTTCAATGTAAATTAATTACTATGTAGTTTTATTTTTTTAATTTTTTCAACTACATTAAAATATTCCAATAAGTTCTTAGAGCTAAAACCTAAAGATGAAGTGACTTTGTTTGTCTTATTTTGGCTTATTTTAGAATGCTCTAAATTACAGTTTTTCCCATTCATTTCTATGGGTGCCCATTTTTGAGCCAAATACAAGATTAAGGATTTTTTTTTTCACCCACTTAACATTATAGAATTGAGTCAAAAAAAATGTGTGTGTTCAGGAGGCAAACTTAGGAAAAGTTGCCAAATCTTGTACCGCTCAGATCAAGGGAAGTATTTTTTTTAAAATAAATCAAAACTATTTTGCCCACATTTGTCCAGAATACGGTTTTAGGGTTAAGAGTTAGTTGTCAACGACAGTCCTATACCTGCCAAGGTACCAGCACAACAAACACTCTCAGCTAAATATCGTCAAATTATTGTTTTTGAAGATAGCCCAGAAAATTTTGAGAGATTTATTTATTTTTTTTAATACCGCAAACCCCTACAGCCAAGTCATATTATTATAGGTTCCAGGTCTGAACAAAAGTAATAGTGTTGCTTGACTTGGTAAACACCACACTTTTAACGTAGGTAATGTAAACGTGTGTTTTTGTAGGTACATAGTGGAGTGCAACACTGAGGTAGATCCTCCGGCTTACCTTCGGGTGGAGGGAAGGTCATACGACCTGTCGTGCATTACGGCAGAAGGACAGGAGAAGATCCCACCCTTCAACCCCCTGACCCAACACGCCTGGCCTGATGAGGAAACAATGGGTCTCGATGAAAGCCAACTTCAAGCACTAAAACTGGCTTTAACCAATGAGCTGGCCATCATACAGGGACCACCAGGCACAGGTGAATGTTTTAACCAATGCACAAAAAAAGTAAATTTTAACATGCAACCTATTTCTGAGCCTCACAGATGAATTCTAATGGAGAAAATAGCTCAAAAATTATATAATTCATGCAATGTATCATACATCTGGTAATGGTTTTGAAGATCCTGTGTGTTTTCTTCTTTGCAGGGAAGACACATGTTGGACTAAAGATCGCTCAGGCTTTGCTAGAGAATAATAAGGCCTGGTCTCAGGATTGTCCTATGCTGGTGGTCTGCTATACCAATCATGCTCTTGACCAGTTTCTCGAAGGTAACATATGATATTTATAAGAGCGTGTGGCTGATTTTTCACTTGCTTTGAGGGTGATTGCATGGACAACTTGATTTGGGATCTGTCTGATGTTTCTTTGAGCCAACTATTAGATTAAATGGAAAGTTGTCTCTCATGATGTAATCTCACATTGTTTTTGTTTTAAGTTTTTGTTTTAAGGCTATTCCAGTCCAGAGAGTTCAAACTAACACAGTCAAAGCTTCAACACAGCTTCATGAATGAAATTATGAGATATTTCACAACTTATGTCCCAGGTATCCATGGCTTCTTAAAGAAGGGCATTGTAAGAGTTGGAGGACGAAGTAACAGTGAAACTCTGAAGAGTTTCGGTCTAAGGGAGCTGACCAGGGCTGCGAACTTCCGGAAAGGTTTGCCACATCATCTGAGGAAAGCCCATCATAGGGTGAGCCCTATCATCGACATAACTCCTGTTTCATTGTGACATTTCTTATTATTTTATTTTATTATACGGGTCTCTTAATTTTTAGGGCTGTCAGTATAATAAAAATAATTGCTTTATTTTATTATAGTAGTCTATTATTTATTCTACTGTCAGTAGAATAAAAAATATTTATGTATTAGTATTCATTTATTTTATTATACTAGTTGTATTTAATAGGACTGTCAGTAGAATAAAAATAGCTGTTTTATTTTATTCTTTTATTTTAATATACTGGTCTCTTATTTCTCAGGACTGTCAGTATAATAAAAATAATTGCTTTATTTTATTATAGTAGTCTATTATTTCTTAGGACTGTCAGTAGAATTATTTTTTTTATTTTATTTTACTAGTCTTATATAATAGGACTATCAGTAGAATAAAAAATAGTTGATTTATTTTATTATTTTATCTGTCAATAGAATAAAACTGTCAATAGAATAAAAATTATTTAGTTTTTTAATGTTGCTGTTAACTCACTCAAGTTGAATTATAAAAATGAAAAAAAAGAGAAAATTGTTTATGGATATTTCCATAAAATGTTCCTAAAGAGAACAAAATATGTTACAATTGTTTCTCATTAATAATTTAATTAATAGCATGTTTAATTTGATAAGTAAATGAAATATGTGGCTGTGCTCTAACTTATAATTTGATGATCTGTTAGGGTGTTTTTATTTCTTGTTATCTGGAGACAGTTATGTGCCATAGTGTCTCATAATATATGAATGATATTTCTAATGCGTTGTGCTCAGATCTACACAGAGATGGAGCAGGCGGAGGAGCTCTTAAAGAGACAGACCGCACAGCTCGAGTGCAGTTTGCGTGGCGTTCTCAGAGAAGACTTTCTGGAAAGATACATCTCTTCTGAGCACTGGGACAGTCTGTGTCTACAGCCAGTGAGTCCACACACACACACACACACACACACACACTCAGCTGCCAAACACACCATCCATAAATACTTAAATACTTTATACAGACCATGAAGCAATTTTGGACCCTGCTTAACCCTATAATGTCTACTCTCTATCATATTTATAGCCAATTTCCAATTTCTAAGGTTTCTAAATGATCAAAACTTTGTTTCACACAATCTCCAACAATCATTCTGTCGTCTGATTGATCTTTCATGCTTTTTAGTATAATTGTACAAACGTCCTTCAGCTCATGCTGTGAAATCCCATACAGATTTTTATAAAGTAAACATAAAGATTCACTTTTAAATTGTTTGTAATATTTCAAGATGAACACTTACTGGACTGAAGCAACATGATTTACATGATTATCCATACAACATTTATTAAAAAAAAAACAAAAAAAAAAAAAACACGAGTATCAAATATGACCATCATGTTTTTGGTTTAGGGTTTATTTGGTTTATTTGTTCGTCTCTCATCATTGTATTGCATTGCATTATATGTTTTAAAATTACAGAGCTTTGATCATAAACAGCATTTAAATATCATCTTACTCAGACATATTATTGGCAGATATTGAGTGTCGACTGATATTTATGTCCTTTTATGTAAGGAGCCTGCTATACTGTTAGACATATCGATTCGAATTTCAGAATTTTTTGTCTTAAATATCTGCATCTGCATTGCATAATTTTTTCTCAATTTGGGCCTCTAAATATTTTTTTTTTTTTTTAAATTCAATGTTTTGTGTTCCTTTTCAAAATATCTGATATTTTGATTATTACTTCATATGTTAGGCTTTACAGGTTTAAACTTCAAGCCATGAGTCGTGTGACTTGTAATATGTACATAGGTTTTTAATCACAGCAATTTTCAAAACGTCCATTCTTTCTGTGTTAGGTGTATGACGACTTTGAAAGAGTGGGGAAGAAGAAGAAGCATTCAATGATAGCAGAGTGGCTCGGCATCGGGTCCAATATTTCTCTGCAGGGGCCACAATTAACATTTGGAGCAGGTGAGACTCAAACAGACCAAACACAATGTCGACAACAATTTATCTTTTTATGCTCTAATATGAGGTCAAATAAATCACCACATGCTTTTTTAAAACTGCATTTTCTTCATTCTTTAATGCACAAGGATTTCCCCTCACCATTGAGATGCAGTATTTATTATTATTTGGTACTAAATGCAAAAACTACTCATAAGACAAAGTGTTCAACGTTTGTTAGCAAATAGACATTAGATTATACGGCTCATTGGGGCCCTCTGCTGGTTAAGGGCCATGTGAAAATACTGCAAATGATTTAATGACTCTTTTTATTTATATTATAACATATTTGGGATCAGGTACACAACAGATTTGCTGTGGTCAGTGAACACATCCAGAGTGTGTTTGAGCTCGTTTAAGTACTTGTGTAAAGTTTTAAGTGTAACACTTCACATTAGTAAACTACATTTGTTAGCATGTACTCCACTTATACAGCATTTGTTAATGTTGAAATTAACATTAACCAATAGTGTATTAAAATCTTGTTATCATTAGTTAATGCACTGTGAAGTAACATAATGAACCGTTGTATTTTTATTATCTAACATGAATAAATACTGTAACAAATGTATTGCTTATGGTTAAAACATTAATTCATTTTAGCTAATAAACCTTGTGAAGTGTTACCATTTTAACAGTTAACCCTTAACAGTCATTTATTAGTTATTAGAGAAACACCCTATTTCATCTGTATATTAACCATGGTAAATTTCACATAAAAATATAACTTTTCAAATCTGAAGATAGGAAGTTTCCAAGTTTCCAGAACTCCAAATTCAACATTACAAACCTCTCTCTCTCTCTCTCTCTCTCTCTCTCTCTCTTCCTCGGCGGCAGATGAAAACGAGGCACAACTAGAGGACGAGGAACTGATAGATATAGAAGAAGAGGCAGAACTGATCCAGGCCGAGAGGATATTGTTGGATTCAGATCATCGGGATAAAGACCGGCAGAAACTGAAACGGGATGAGAAAACCATCGCTGACATGGCTGAGGAGATGTTGTCTTTGAACCTGAATGATACTGAACCTCAACCAGACCAGAGTCGCAATCAGAGCCAGGCTCAGGCTGAGGAATGGCAGGTGTGAATATTCATGCATTATTTGGTAACACTTTCATTAGTTAACTACCTTAGTTAACATGAACTAAGAATGAACAATACTTCTACAGCATTTCAACGTTTACTAATATGTTATTAAAATCAAAGGTTGCATTTGCTATAAACAATGAAGAGCTGGATTTTTATTAAACTAAGATAAACAAAGATTAAAAAATACTTTAACAAATGTATTCCTCATTGTTAGTTCATTCATGTTGGTTAGCTAATGAACCTTATTGTAAAGTGTTATTATTTAATCATTTATATCATATTGTTTAAAATATTATTTTGTATTTAATAATTTAAGCCGTGTGTGTGTGTATTCAACATTTTCTACAAATACTTATTGTACTATTCACCTTGTGTGTGTATGTGTGTTTTGATGACGACAGTGCTACTGTTCTGTTCATGTGTGTTCAGGTGCAAGGCCACCAGAAGAAAAAAATGAAGCAAATGGTTCGAAAAGAGCTGAGGAAGACTTCCGCCCTGAGTGAGGCACAAGAAAGGCATATCAGAGATGTGTGGAGCCTGAGTCAGATAGACAAATGGAAACTGTATCGGTAAGACATAAACACTCCCTCCACGAGATGGCAGCATCTAAACACAAATGACTGAAGGGAAGTTTGGATCATTTTACTTAATCGGATCTTTGAGTCTACCTTAAAGGAGTAGTTCACTTTTTAAAAAACTTTTGCTGATAATTTACTCACCTCCGTGTCATCCAAGATTTCCATGTCTTTCTTACTTCGGTGGAAAAGAAATTAAGGGTTTTGATGAAAATATTCCAGGATTTTCTCCATATAATGGACTTCAATGGGAACCAAACGATTCAAGGTCCAAAAGACAGTTTCAGTGCAAACTGCAAACTGTTCAAAGGGCTTTAAACGATTCCAGACGTAGAATAAGAGTCTTACCAAGCGAAACGATCGCTCATTTAAAAAAATAAATAACAAAGTTTAAGTTTTATAAGCACAAATGGTCGCCTTTGCTCTGTTCTGTGATGCGCGTTCGTGACTCTCCTATTCGAACTCGTTCATCAAAATGAAAAAGTCTTTTCCTGAGTCAACTCGTTCATTTAGTTCGAAGAACCGTTTGGTTCCCGTTGAAGTCCATTATATGGAGAAAATCCTGGAATGTTTTCATCAAAAACCTAAATTTCTTTTCGACTGAAGAAAGAAAGACATGGACATCTTGGATGACATGGGGGTGAGTAAATTATCAGCAAAAGTTTTTTTAAAAGTGAACTAATTAGTAATTTCAGCAGAATATAAATAAAATGTTACTTGTTAATAACCAAATTCCCCAATACATCAACTTATGCAAATGTTGTTCACATTTAGAATAAGAAAAAAACTATGATGCAGGCCAACGCCAGATTATGAGAAAAAGAAATGATGAATGAATTGCTTAGCTGGGTCTTCAGCTCAAGCTCCTCCATCTCAGAGAGGGGTGTTACTTTATTTTGCTTTTTTTAATTCTAAACTGTTTTAATTATTCTTATTTATTTTAATTCCTTCTACGTAAAGCACTTTGAATTACCATTGTGTTTGAAATGCGCTATATAAATAAACTTGCCTTGCCTTCATCCTATGCACTCTGTTAGATTATCTCTCCTCAACAACATCTTTGTTTCCTCCTTCAGTCTTTGGCTTTTGCGCTATCGGACGGATCTTCGCAATCAAAGCCTGGCCGCTGAGCAGCTCTATCAGGATGCAGCGGAGCGGCTAAATGAGATCCGCCGTCGTGAGGATCTGTGTGTGTTGAAGCAGGCGCTGGTCGTCGGTATGACCACAACAGGAGCTGCTAAGTACAGACAGGCACTTCAGGAGCTGCGGCCCAGACTGGTGATCGTGGAGGAGGCGGCGGAGGTGTTGGAGGCGCACACCATCACCACCCTCAGCAAAGCCTGCCAGCACCTCATACTGATCGGAGATCACCAGCAGGTACACACGACTTGATCAATTGCTGAGACTATCAATGATTCGGGAATATTCTGGGACAAATAAGTGTGTAATTTCCAGCAAAATTTAAATGCAATAACTGAATGATTATCAGGAATCTCATAAAGGAAACATAAAGGGTTATGTACGTCTAGGAGGTCCAACACATTGAAAGTTTCTGGGATATTGATAACTACACTGAACAAAATTATAAACGCAACACTTTTGTTTTTGCGCCCATTTTTCATGAGCTGAACTCAAAGATCCTTTTCTATGCACTCAAAAGGCCTATTTCTCTCAAATATTGTTCACGAATCTGTGTTAGTGAGCACTTCTCCTTTGCCGAAATCCTCCATCCCCCTCACAGGTGTGGCATATGTTCAGAGTAGGATTGCCAATACCTGTGTTTTCAGAAGCACTTTGTTATACTACCGGTCACAAATGTACAAGTCTTACGAGCAAGATATATATGCAGGTGTATAATTCTCAAAATATATCAGTAGTAGACCCTTTAAAGAATATATGTACAAAATATGATAGTTCTATCTGTTAATTAAGATGTTTTACATACTACTTTTTGTAGTAGTCTGAGGAAGACATCCTCTAGATGTGCAAGCAGGAATTAAACTTATCTGGTCATGTGACCTTTCACACTAGTCACATGACATTAATAGATTTGAATCAAGACAATCTATTTTGTCATTTAAAAGTTGAATTACTTGTCCAAAGTCAATAACAACAATTTTAGAGCTTACTTTAATGTTGAATTGTGTCAATTTAAACAGTTAGGCCTGGTTTCACACTCAGGTCTTAGATTAAGCCTGTTAAATTATGACATCTAAGTAGCTTTTATAAACATGTCATAGAAGAAACGGAACGCCCATAACCAGGATTATAGCTTGTCAAGTGTTGAAAATTGTATATAGTGTTAGAACAAACGTGTCAGAAAAAGTGCACTTTCTACACGGTCCCTTACTCGCGTCTCCGTCAACAGCGAGCTTTCCCGGCGAAACTCGCATTGCGGCGGCTTTTGAGGGGCAGTGCTTATTATATAGAGTGAAGTCATAATTGTCTAAGTCGTTTAGGAGGTAACTGCCATTTTTTAATGAATGTCTGGTGAATTTCAAAAACAAAACTAACTTTACCCCGCTTAGAAGCTGCGCGGAGTGTACACAACACACACAACACAATATAACTATATTGTGCATGCTACAGAAAACATAACAGCAAACATTATTAATAATACTTACAGATTGTGATTCGTCGGAGGACGAACCTGATCCATATACACTGGATACTGAGCCCTCCTTCGGGAACAACCGGCTTGCGAATCCACATATGAATTCATGTATGTTTTTGAATGATTCGTCATTAAAATGATGAGATCAGAAGGTTCGGGCGTTGCAAATATGAACTCTGACCACTGATTCTTCACATGCTCGTCCCTGGACAATGAAAACAAGAGGCTGAACTGTCTTTGCAATGTCGAACACACCGTCTTCTCGACATGATGCGATTCAGCTGAAGTGTTTGAATGTGTTCTAGACTTCAAGTTTACACTCCTGTCTGCGCTCGCAGTAACTGGGCGCGGTCAATATCCCAATGTTTCGTATCTACGTCACTACGAAACAGCTAATGACTTGTTTCAAAAACAATTCATTTCATAGACTCAGAGTCGACTCTCACTTTTGAAAGACAATAACTTTATATACGGTGCACTTTCAGATATAAATCTTTGCAGGTTGCTTTCATTCCCTTAAGGCCTGTTCACACCGGGACGAATTTCGCGCGCGTTATTCGTCGACGTTTAACGCCTCGTGACTAAACAATGGGCGCCAATGTGAGTGTTCACACCGACGCGAAAAACGCCACGCGTAAAAGCGTCATTTTTTAAAAAACGCCTCGGGTTCGTTTTTTTGGTTTGACGCGCCGCGTCAAAACCTATCCGACCAACGAGATTGGCCGGTTTGCTCACGTGTCAGGTACTTCTGAAGTTACAGTAAAACACAACTTGGGGGCGCTCAAACACAAAACGGTCTTGCCGAGCACACGGCGAAGAAGAGATAAGATACCTACGTGCAAGATGAATGTTGAGCTGCTGGTCTCGGAGCATAATGAGCTATATGATAATATTTATATTAGTATTTCTGTAATATTAGTATAGTATAGGGTGACCAACAGTCCTGTTTTCCCGGGACATATGTAAAATGGTCACTTTGTGCTTTATAGAAATCTGAGTTGAGATGAGAACTGCGCATAGTGTCAGTTAGATTTTGACAAGTGAGGAGAGGAGAACCGCTCTGCCGACTCTTTGTATTCTTTCTTTTATTTTTCTATTGTGACCAGATGTTTGTTTGTGTTTTTTTTTTCTCGCTCGATCCCCATGTATGAGGACGAGTGTAACGTTTGAATGGTTTTATTAAACGCGGGGAAATACGACAACTCTCGTCTCTTGTGCATCTGTTCATCTCTGGGCAACATCTCAACTTTGCGTTATATATGTCCTGTTTCCACGTCCTGTCCTGACTGTTTTTAAGTGATGAAAATGTCCTGGTTTAAAAATATAGATGGGCAAACAAGGTGGACGAGGAAGAAAAACAAGATAAAGAGAATGAAAACTAAAGACATAAATAGATTTTGTTAGTTCGTTTTTGTAAGTTTGTGAGAGCTATTTTTTGTTACATTTGGAGGCATTTTTTAGTTATTTATTATTTATATATTTATTTTTCTAATACAGAAGACATTATTTCTATCATTATTTCATTCGTTTTTTTTAATCTGTCATAATAAAACATTGAGACATGAATATGATCACCCTATAGTATATTCTATTATTATTTCTGTTTTACATTAAGCGCCATCTAATGTCAGGGAATGAATTTGCATGTTCACTCGGCTCATCGTCAGCGAAATACGCTTGGGTGTGAACACAAAAAACGCGTTGAAAAACGCTGACGAATAACGCGCGCTGATATTCGTCCCGGTGTGTACGGGCCTTTAGAGCTATATTCCACACTACATGAACAGTCATTTTCAAAAATCCATTATAGGTGCTCTTTAAACCTAGTTTTTGAAACCCGGGATAAATGTAAACAATAAATGCTTCTGTAGTGTGAAACCATAATGCTTTTTCTTTCTGTATTTGAACCTGCACAGCTGAGGCCTAGCGCAACAGTGTACGATCTTGCCAAGAATTTCAATCTGGAAGTGTCGATGTTTGAGAGGCTTGTCAAAGTGAACTTCCCGTTTGTGCGCCTCAACTACCAGGTTAGTTGCTGTACCATCACATCAGCCACTGGGTTACATATTCACAGATGTCAATGATTCCTTAAAGGGTTAGTTCACCCAAAAATGAAAATTAAGTCATTAATTACTCACCCCCATGCTGTACCAACCCCGTAAGACCTTTGATCATCTTCGGAACACAAATAAAGATATTTTTGATTGAATCTGAGAGCTGGATCACTCCTCCATAGACTGCCTAAGGGACTAGCTCTTGACGGCCCATAAAGTCATTAAAGAAAATGTTTAAATATTCCATGTGCCTACAGCGGCTCAATTATAAGTTTATCAAGCGACGAGAATCCAAAAAAACATAAATAACGACTTTATTCGACTATTCCAATACTTCCTTATGGGCGCATGCGCGAGAACTGAGACGAGGACGTTCTTCTTCGACTACTTCTTGTTACCGGCTGCTCACCGCTTAGGAGTATTACCGCCCCCTACCGTATAAGATGATGTGCTGATATAGCTGGAAGCGCAAAACTTTCTGTACATACGCTTTTCAATTAGCGTATTTTGCGCACTATATGCACTTAAATCTTCTCCTTTAATCTTCTCAAAAACGACAGTGCTGTGCGCCTTATAATCCGGAGCGCTTATATATATGGATCATCATCTTATACGGTAGGTGCCGGTAATACTCCTAAGCGGTGAGCAGCTGGTAACAAGAAGTAGTCGAAGGAGAACGTCCTCGTCTCAGTTCTCGCGCATGCGCCCATAAGGAAGTATTAAAATAGTCGAATAAAGTCGTTATGTATGTTTTTTTCGCACAAAAAGTAGTCTCGTCGCTTGATAACCTTATAATTGAGCCGCTGTAGACACATGGAATATTTAAACCTTTTCTTTAATGACTTTATGGGCCGTCAAGAGCTAGTCCCTTAGGCAGTCTATGGAGGAGTGATCCAGCTCTCAGATTCAATCAAAAATATCTTCATTTGTGTTCCGAAGATGAACGAAGGTCTTACGGGGTTGGTACAGGATGGGGGTGAGTAATTAATGACTTAATTTTCATTTTTGGGTGAACTAACCCTTTAAGTGAATCATGTGATAAAACAACAAACCTTTTCTTTATATTTTATTTGTTTCTAGCATCGCATGAGGCCAAGCATCGCTCGACTCTTGACTCCTCATATCTATGAAACTCTGGAAAACCACCCCTCTGTGCTGGAGTATGACAATGTCAAGGTATAGAAACATAATTACACAACCTTAGATGGTCACTGACATTATTTATACTTAATAGTTATTTGGCTATTACTAAAATGCATCTACCTGACATCTGTATCTTTTGGTCTATAGGGGCTTCTGACAAATCTCTTTTTTGTGGATCATTCTCAAAGTGAGGAAGAGATTAAGGATGGACGGAGCCACCAGAATCCTCACGAAGCACATTTTGTTGTTGAGCTTTGCCGGTACTTGCTTAACCAGGACTACAAGCCCTCCCAGATTACCATTCTCACAACCTACACCGGACAACTTCACTGTCTGCGTAAGCTCATGCCCTCTCCACTTTTCACTGGCGTCAAAGTCCATGTCGTTGACAAATACCAAGGGGAGGAGAATGATATCATCATATTGTCTCTGGTGCGCAGCAACAGTCAGGGGAGGGTCGGCTTCCTGAACATATCAAACCGAGTCTGTGTTGCTCTCTCTCGTGCTAAGATGGGTCTTTATTGTATTGGGAATATGGACATGCTTAGCTCGGTTAAACTGTGGAGCAACATCCTTCACACTCTGAGAGAGGCGGATCAAATTGGTCCTGCTTTGACGTTGAGCTGTCAGAACCATCCGGATAAACGGATCCAGGCGTCCTGCGGGAATGACTTCAAAGGTGCTCCTGAGGGTGGTTGCGATCAGCCCTGCGAGTACCGCCTGGAGTGTGGCCACGTGTGCACCCGTATGTGCCACCCATACGATGCTGAGCACAAGAAATACAAGTGCATGAAAGATTGTCCAAAGGTGAAGTGTGAACTGGGCCACAAATGCATGAAGCGCTGTTACCAAGAGTGCGGTGAATGCCGGGTACTCGTAAACAAGATAATACCGTCATGCCAGCACAATCAGGAGGTGCCCTGCCACCAAGACCCTGCCACATTTGAGTGCCAAGAGGACTGCCAGAAGACCCTACCATGCGGCCATCCATGCAAGGCGACCTGTGGCGTTTCCTGCACCTCACAGTGCATGACAAGAGTTCAGATGGAGCTAAGATGTGGACACGTCCAAAAAGAACCATGCTATATTTCCAGGGACCACAAAAATGAGCCAAACTGCAGACAGAAATGTGGCACCACCTTGAAATGTGGCCACACTTGCCCAGGATCTTGCCATGCATGCTATCAAGGTCGCCTGCATAGAGGATGCACCCACAAATGCCAAGCAACCCTCGTGTGTTCTCATCCCTGTCGGGAACCCTGTGTCAGAGATTGTCCACCATGTTCCTCACTTTGCGAGAACCGTTGCCTCCACAGCATCTGTAAGAAGACTTGTGGACAGCCTTGCGCCCGCTGCATCGAACCCTGTGAATGGCAGTGCCCTCATTACACCTGCACCAAGCTTTGTCACGAACCGTGTGATCGCCCACCTTGTTCAGTTCCCTGTAACAAAGAATTACCCTGCGGACATCGTTGCATAGGCCTATGCGGAGACCCTTGTCCCAAAAAGTGTCGCGTTTGCAACAAGGATGAGGTCACGGAGATCTTCTTCGGCAATGAAGACGAACCGGATGCTTGTTTTATTCAGCTAGAAGATTGCAGGCACTTGTTTGAGGCTAAAGGAATGGATCAATACATGAGTCTCGACGAAGACCAAGCTTCTGGATTGGATCAAAGGGCAATTAAACTCAAGGAGTGCCCAAGGTGTCGCACTCCCATCCGTAGAAACCTTCGGTATGGCACTCACATCAACCGCAGCCTGGCAGCCATCGAGATGGTCAAGGAGAAGATCAATGGTTTGCCTGATGTTATCAAGCAAAAGCAGGAAGTCCTACGTTTGCAACTGGTTGAGCAAATCAACTTGAAGAATCATCTTCCCAAAGAGTTCGACTCCATTCGTGAGAAGCTCAACACAAATGACCTTTCATTACAACAACTTTGGCATCTCGAGAATTTGATGAGCTTCCTCGAGAGCATTGGGAAACTGAAAGAAATGCAGAAAGAACGTATGACACCACAAGACAATTTTAAGTTCTCCCGCAAACTCGAAGAAGTTTTGAAATTCCTCTTGGATCGAAATCAGAGGTTTTTTGACCAGCAGGTTGAAGATCTCGAACGTGAATTGAAGAGACTTTCCTACCTGGCTGAGCTCAACGTGCGCTGCAAGAAATCTGAATTTAAACTTTTTGACGACGTTCTTGCCAGCGAAGTCCAACTGTTAAGAGAGATCCTGGAGGACACCTTGCCTTTCTCTGAGGGTCTAGAACGTACAGTCAAGAAAAAGTTCACAGAGCTGGATGCTAAGCTTCCGGTCAGTGGCCTGGGGATCACTGACGATGAGAGGGTGATGATACTCAAAGCCATCGGTTTGAATAAAGGGCATTGGTACAAATGTCCCAACGGACACGTGTATGCAATTGGTGAGTGTGGGGGTGCTATGGAACAAAGCAAATGTCCAGAATGCAACGCTGATATTGGAGGTACTAATCACACACTCCTTCAGGGAAATGATGTGGCGTCTGAGATGGATGGTGCACAACATGCTGCCTGGTCAGATGCTGCCAACATGGGAAACTATAACCTGATGGACTTTGAAGATTGAAATTCTTAAACCACTTTCACAAAGAGATTCTGGGAAATATACTGATCGTTTGATTTTATTGTGGTTCATTCATACTGGCAGTGATTTTTTTTGGAATCTGGAATTTGGAATGTGGCATGTTTGCAGAAATTTTTCCGCCCTTTTTCCTTGACGAACACAAACTTTCATCTTTGTTGATGTGAGAGTTGCACGATAACTACGTCATTGCGATGACAAAAACCCCTTACACCATTGGTCCTGCCTCTAATTAACACAGGATCATTCCTGGACTGATCCTAGCCGTGTCACTTGGTCCCCATTCCGGATTCAATCCTGGGATGTGTTTGCGTTCACACAGAAGGCACTTTAGAAATTGACTTATGGCTAAGCCACGCCCTCAAACGCGATGAGCCAATCACAGTGCACAGCCAACCCAATACAATCAAGACATTCTCTGCTTCCACGTCCATTGAAATGTATTGCATTTAGTCAGATTTCATTCGTTTTTTTCTTGTCATTTTAAGTTTAAAATGGTCAAACGGTGTGGATGGGGTACTCCGACACTAGGTTCCCGAGAGCCGGAATTTTTTTACCCTTTCCCAAGCCACATCTCAACTGAGATAAGTGTCTGCTCTGGATTAAGATATGCGGTAGACCACAACACCAACTAAATGTGGATGATTTAAACAAGGATGTCTACATCTGTTCTAAGTTAAGTCAACAACGTAATTGAACATTAGGGTGGTGATGGCGCAGTGGATAAGACACATGCCTTTGGTGTGAGAGACCTGGGTTTGAATCCACTGTGAGACACCAATGTGTGCCTGAGCAAGACACTTAACCCCTAGTTGCTCCAGAGGCAACTGCTACTGTATGTGCAACAAGTCAATCTCTTGATGAAATGCTACTTCCGCTTGGTTTTGATCCTCATATAGTCATTTGGTGGTGAAAAATTCTTACTGCCTTTTAACTGATGAGTTTCAAAGCCTATTTTTACTTGTACTTCATGCGTAGTGAGTTGAACCAGGCAATCTACCTTTTTATGTAACTGACTATTAAAGAATAAAATTAAGAGTAACTTGTAAGACTAGACTATGCGGTTTATGCAACTGGCCACTGGTTAGAAATAATACTGTCTGTACATTTCAATGCATCAGCTTTTTTTCCTTGCTTTTTTTTAAGTGATTAAAAAACACACTCTAAAAATGTTGGGTTGTTTTAACCCAGCTTTGGGTCAAATGGACAAACCCAAACTTTGGGTTAAAAATGTAATTAAAAAAATCTAACCCAATGGCTGGGTTTGTCCAAATTTGACCCAAAGTTGGGTTAAAACAACCCAACATTTTTTAGAGTGCACATTCATGTTTTTTGTTAGTTAGTTTTAAGTGCAATATACTCTTACTCGTAATAAAGGAGGTTAGTGCATAGTCTTTTTTTTTATTTTTTTATTCTTTATTTACAGTCAGCAAGAAATAATTACAGAATGAAAGTGATGATGAAAAACTGTCCATTTGCTGTTGTTTTTTTAGAACAGTACATGTATATGCTTTGAACAATTAGGGAGAGATAGTGCATAGTCGTTTAAAGCAAATATTTGTGGTTTTAGATACTGATTGATTGGTCAATATGATGTTCTAGGCTAAACTTGAATAGTCAAGGACCCAAATGCGCAAACATACACAATGCTTACCAATGAAATGACCTGTAGCTTGCATGCATGCTCACAGAAGAATAGCACTTTATCATAACTATGCTTAATAAAACCATGTTTTAATGAATAAGTGTGTATTTTTTATTAAATACTAACCATTTCATAAAAGCAGTAAGGCACTTGAGGTCATGTTTTATTGTCAATACACCAAAATTCTCATGCCTTATTGCATGCTTTAGTTTCAAGTACGTACTAGCATCTGTCCTTAGCTTAAAGGAGTAGTTCACTTTAAAAAAAAACTTTTGCTGATAATTTACTCACCCCCATGTCATCCAAGATATCCATGTCATTCTTTCTTCAGTCGAAAAGAAATTAAGTTTTTTTCAAGCGAAATGATCGCTCTTTATAAGTTTTATAAGCTCAAATGGTCGTCGCCTTGCTCTGTTCTGTGATGAGCGTTCGTGACTCTCGTGTTCGACCGTTTACAGTCAATGGTTCGAACTTGTTCATCAAAATGAACGAATCTTTTATTGGTGTCATTTGGTTCATTCAACGAACGAAGTGAACGAATTGACTCGGGAAAAGATTCGTTCATTTCTTTTTTTTTTTTTTTAAATGAGCGATTGTTTCCCTTGATCAGACCCTTATTCATCGTCTGGAATCGTTTAAAGCCCTTTGAAGCTGCACTGAAACTGTCTTTTGGACCTTGAACCGTTTGGTTCCCATTGAAGTCCATTATATGGAGAAAAATCCTGGAATGTTTTCATCAAAAACCTTAATTTCTGTTCGACTGAAGAAAGAAAGACATGGACATCTTGGATGACATGGGGGTGAGTAAATTATCAGCAAGTTTTTTTTAAAGTGAACTACTCCTTTAATTTCACTAGGTGGCAGCAGTGTACTGGTCAGCAACTCTCCCAGCTTGTGTTGTTGGAACAGAATGCATTTGTGCTCTCCATAATGCAAGCTATGGTTTCTCTCATGTAGGTCAGACTTTGACCTGCATCAGGAAACACACTGGTCTCTGCCAACTTCAGCAGGTTTATCCATATCTGGCTAATAATAAAGCATCACCCGAGCTCTCAGCCTAAATTACCAGCAGTCACGTGAGACGAGAGGCTAGCCGTGAGCTGCTAGGTCGACTTCCCGGCAGCTTACATCAGTTTATTATGTGATGAATGTTACCTTGTCATAACGTAGCCTAAACCCGAATGCAAAGTCGGCACTTTCTGCACAGAAAATAAGGGTGGGGTGGAGGAGCGACGACAACAAAATCTGTTGTGTCAGGATGCAAAGGAAAAGCAAGCACAAGTTTAAGCATATTTTTGAGGGACAGGCTGTGATTTTTTTATAGGGCCAAAAAAAAAAGCAAGTGAAGCAAGATTACACAATTTATTCAGTCATTTTCTTTTGCGTTAACAACATCCCTTAACTCTGTTAAAATCCATTGCTTTTGTGTGGCAACAGCAATATGATAAAAGGCACAAATGTTCAATGAATCAATGTTTTTGCTAATTAATATAATTTATTAGTATAGAGCATTTACTATTGCTACAGATCAACAAGGCATTTTGGCAGATTTATGCATAATTGGTGTGAGGTTACAGGTTTCAGTGGCTTCACTCTCATCTGCTCATTATGGATGTGACTTATTTTCAGTTTGAATTCAAGGGCAGATTAGGACAGAGTCTGACGCATGATTCGGGGAGGAGGAGGAGGGATTGAGCATCTATGCGTGATTGTTCGTGTTTAATGGAGAGGATCGTGTCACAGAGAATGGACTGAGCACATGCTAACCCTGAGTGCTAAATGTAATTAGGGTTCAAGTGCTTCAGTATGCAAATGGTGAAAAAGATTTTTAACAGTAGCCTACCGTAGATGGGAAAAGTAGGATTGTGGCTGAAATTGTGACATGTTGGTGCTGAGAAGAACAAAATGCCATGCTATTAGGGTGTTTTGACATAATAATACGCTAGGTATATGTCAGGGTTTCTCAATCACAGGTTTGTAAGATTGTTGTAGTAATGTCAATGCTTTTGTGTGGCAACAGCAATATGATAAAATGCACAAATGTTCAATGAATCAATGTTTTTGCTAATTAATATAATTTATTAGTAGGCTATTTACTATTGCTGCAGATCAACAAGGCATTTTGGCAGATTTAAGCATAATTGGTGTGAGGAAATGAACGAGTTGACTCGTTAAAAGATTTGTTCATTTTGATTGAACAGGAGAGTCACGAACGCGCATCACAGAACAGAGAAAGGTGAGCATTTGAGCTTATAAAACTTAAACTTTGTTATTTATTTATTAAATGAGCGATCGTTTCGCTTGATAAGACCCTTATTCATCGTCTGGAATCGTTTAAAGCCCTTTTAACAGTTTGCAGTCTGCACTGAAACTGTCTTTTGGACCTTGAGCCGTTTGGTTCCCATTGAAGTCCATTATATGGAGAAAAATCCTGGAATGTTTTCATCAAAAACCTTAATTTCTTTTCGACTGAAGAAAGAAAGATATGGACATCTTGGATGGCATGAGGGTGAGTAAATTATCAGCCAAAGTTTTTTTTTTTTTAAAGTGAACTACTCCTTTAATATGGTAATCATTTGCGTATTTATGATAAACACCATATCCAAGTTATATAATACAACTATTGTCTCATTTCTTTCTATTTTTTGTCATGAAGATTTTTAGAAGGAAAAAATCCTTAAACAAATATACACAAATTGAGCCATTAGAGTTTATTGAACTTTAATATGAATGTGTAGCTCAGATCATTTGGAGAAATTGCCGTGAAATACTTGAGTTGGTTTGGATTGGTAAATCTGAGCACAGTTTGAGACATTGATGAGATCTTTTCCAGAGACATAAGATTACTGGTGTGTTTTTCTCAGGAGAGACATCTGAAAGTTTTCTTTGTTCTCTATTTAATTTCATTGCTAATATGAAGATAAAGTAGATCTCATTTGGTGTCTGCTAAATTAATGTAAATGTAGATCTCATTTGTGACCTGTGATCTCAGCTGTTTATCAGTTTCATGACTGCATATTGTTCTCAGTTGGCTTCAGTTTGGTGTGAGCGTTATAAAAATTACATCTGTGGCTGTTTTCCACGTTGCATTTGTCAAACCTGCCTGGCTGAAAAGAACTGATTAAAATTTCATTGGGCCCTGTGGTGACCAGCTATATGCTTTCATGAAATAATGTGCGTGTGGATGTGTAAATATAGATCTGGTAAGGTTATAGCTAGGCCATAAATGCGTATGAAAGCCTTATTCACTCTCTGTTCTCTGTTTCAGCGAGGCACTTTTGTGTCCTGCATTACCGCTGCTTTAATTAATGTTGGATTATGTCCTTTGAACAGTCACTGACTCATGTTCAAAAGGAGGTTTGTCGTGTAACGAGCTGTAATCATAAATCGAGTTTTGGTGTGCCTTATGAAACATTTGTGAAGTTTTAATCATGTACGTAATTACTAATGGGAACAGTACAGGGGAAAAACAGTGACTAAAAGATTAACCTGCATAAGAGGTTCTGTCATGAGAAAAACACCAATAACGTACCTAATCTACTCGAGC